AGGAGAGGAGAGGAGAGGAGGAGAGGAGACACAAATGTTTTCCATCAGTTGTTTATTTAAGCGTCGTGGTCGTTCAGCAGCTGAACTGTTCCTGTGTGAAGCAGGTGATGGAGGACGGCCCCCCAGTTTTTATACACGTCCAACAAAATCACTTTAATGACATGATAATGTCTCAGCATCAAACTCATGATGGACACATGATGGACACATGATGGACACATGATGGACATGTGTGTGTGTGTGTGTGTGTTTGTGTGTGTGCGTTTCCGAGCGCAGCAGATATTTATAGCTGTACTCACTGGAATCAATACTTGGAGCCACAGGCAGCAGGAATATATCAGCCTTCGACCTCCAGCCTGCACACACACACACACACACACACACACACACACACACACACACACACATTACTGACAGTTAATAAATGACTCCCTCTCTTGACTTGGAGCTAAACTGTAAAATAATCAGGTTATTACTGACTTTTCTTTGGTTATTCCGTAGTTTTCTTCTTTTACTCTGTTGTCTCGATGCAGCCGTCAGAAGGAAACGTGGATGAAAAGGAAGAGAGTGTTTCTCTGTATCGATCTGACTCTGTGACATAACACACGATTGTCCAATAATAACAGCAGAGGGACGGACAGTTGGACTTGTGAGGACACGTCTGTGCAGCTGCAGTTAAGACAAACTTCTCAACAACCTAGATACAAATGTCCTGACTGAAGAGCCGTGATCGTCTCTGTCATCATCTTAAAGAAAGGACCACATCATGCGGACGTTCAGAAAAAGACGCCAGAGTTTTGTTTCCAGACGTTCATCAGGATCCTGTCGAGAAAAGGTGGAGAATTATTCAGTCTATAGACAAATGTTCATAAATATGTTCATGGGAGCATCGACGCTCTCGTCTTGTGATTGTTTTCACGTCTTGTCCAGCACCAACAGTTTATCACGTTTCAATGTGTGGAAACTCTGTGATTGGCTCCAGCTCCTCTGGAATCTTAGCTCCTCGTCCGCTGAGTCCTCCTCCAGATCACATGTGTGTCTGAATCTATTGTTGTCTAATCAGCTGAATTTAACACAGTTGGCGTCCAATCAAAGATCGAGAGAAACAAGACTGAACTTCAAGAGTCAAAGCAAAGAGTCCGAATAACTCTGTCAATGTCCCATTTCAGTTTCATCCAGAAAATATTTGAAAAACCTTTCAAATTAGTTTCACTTCTCTTTCATTTTGTCAACTGAACATTTAGTGTGAAACAGGTTGAATTATATAGAAACATCGTTATCTTTTACAAAGTTTCAGGTAATAAACAAAAGATGATTTTAGAATAATTTATTAACACGCATGTTTACACAGCATCTTTAAATCAGAAAACGATGATAAACTCTAAATAAAATAATGTCAGACTTAAAATTAGCTGAAGTTTTCATTGTTCAGGATGTTTGTTAGGTTTCATTGAATCCTTCGTGTGATTCGTCGATCTTCAGCAGCTCAAAGGTCAAAAATAAAGTTTTATGAATTATTGGCTCAGTGATGGTTCTGAGGATTCACAGGAAATAAACTAAACGTTCATGACTTTAACTGCAGCGTTTCTTCACCACGTTCCAAAACATCCAACTGTTGCAGTAACCATGACGACAGAGAGGAC